GCCCATCCATCCGTCCATCCACCCACCCATCTACCCATCCATCCATCTGCCCATCCATCCACCCATCCATCCATCTATCCATCCATCCATCCATCCATCCATCCATCTGTCCACCCATCCATCCATCCATCTGCCCACCCATCCATCCACCCACCCATCTATCCATCCACCCAACTAACCACCCACCCATCTATCAGCCCACCAGCTTATCTATCCATCCATCCCTACCCCCCACATTCACCCATCTATTTGTCCATCCTTCTTCCCTTCTTCCTTTCACCAGTACTGCTAGGTAGGCCACTTTGTACCAAGGTCATGACAAAGTTCATTAGAACCAGGATTCAATTCATCTTATCCAACCCCATGCTTTTCCCACAGTCCTGAGCTGAGACAGAGAGATGAAAATGGCTCAGTGATTCAGGGTTGAGTGGTCCTGAGACCAGGCTGGACTGTGGTGATGTTAGTGACCATCACTGATTCCTAGGTGTCCCCTCCTGGGCACAGAGATCTGCGTTTCCTATCCCCTTGTGGCTGGGTGGAGCCGTGCAGGTGGTATATCGGCTGGACCGTGCACCAGCTGGTGTGAAACCCCCTCCCTTCTTGCTGGAGCAAGCAGGATCTGGGAGGTGGTGGCCATCCCATCGGCAGGGGTACCGAGCTATGGCAGTGAACAGAGCACCCTGCTGACCTATGCGAGTGTGTGAAGTGAGCCATTGTGGTGGTAAGCCATGAGATGTGGGAGCTGTTACATGGCAGGACTCAGCCCGTCCTGACCGGCCTCCCACGTGCAGGCCTTCTGACCCTGCTTACCCTTTGCATCAGTCTCCCGGGGCTGCCATGATGGGGTGCCACAAACTGGGGGGCCCCAAACCATAGACACGTATACCCCCACGGTTCTGGAGGCCAGAAGCCTGAAACGGACATGTTGTCGGGGCTTGGTTCTGTGGATTCTGACGACGACCTGTTCCGGCCCCTCTCCTAGCTTCCGGGGTAGCCATCGGGCCGTGGCAGGCCTCGGTTTGTGGCCGCGTGGCTCCAGTCTCCGCCTCTGTCTTCATACAACCTCCCCTCTGTGTGTGTCCCAGTGTCTCCTCTTCTTACAAGGACACCAGTCGTTGACTTACGGGCCTGCCCCACTCCAGTTTGACCTCATCTTAACCAGTTACATCGGCAAAAATCCCATTTCCCAGTAAGGCCACATTTTGAGGTTCCAGGTGGACATGAATTTTGGAAACACTATTTAACTCTGTATACCACCCCCACCCCAGCTTAACTTGGGTCAACAAACGTTTAAAGAAGACTCACTATGGTGAGTTGGGTGCTTGGGTGACATAAGTGAGGAGACGGGGATGTAGCATTCCATAGCAGGCGGAACGCTGGGGACGATGGACTTGGACGAGTTCACAGTCTGATGGCAGAGGCAGGAGAGCCCTCAGACAGTCTCAGCATGGCAGACGGGGGCGTGGGTGAACCACCGGCTGCTGCTGGTGCCTCGTGAGTCTCGGGCATGTGTCTGTCGCCCGCCTCTCTGCCTCCAGCTCCCAGTTCAGGGCTGCACTGGTGGGTGCCCGGGAACTGTTGGGGAGTCCATCCCTCACCCTCACGAAGCACCCGACGTCTCCTGCCACGCTCACTGCAGACATCTGTGAGTGATCACAGCCCAGGCCAGCATGGCCGCAGCCCAACTGGAAAGGCCCTCGATGTGCTCAGGAAGGCTGGCCTGGGCGCCTGGCTCTCTCACAGTCCGTGGCTCTTAAAAAGCACCCACAGGGCCCACTCATCATGCCAAATTCCCCGGGCATGTGTCAGCCCCACCGAGCAGGGAACTACACAGGGGAACTTACGTGCTTCTGACTTCCAGCCCGATTTTCTGGGTGGCAGCTCAACCCACCTCCAGTTCTTGGGGGGCCAGAGCTGGGGGCCGCGGCCCCTGCCCTCACTCAGCCCACACTCCCCAAGTCCGCTCCCGACGATTGTCGCGGTCCACACTCCCGTGGGCTCACTTCCCGCTGGCCTCCCCAAGGGGGTGTCGGCCTCTTCCCGTCTGAGTCTAGAGAGCGTGGCTGACCCCAAAACTGCCCAGGCCACTCCTGAAGCCCAGGGCGCAGTTCTGGGACCCAGAGTTTAGGGGGACATGGACAGAATGGGCGTTCAGAGGACACTGACCACAATGCCGAGGGGGTCCGTGAAACATGCTGGACGAGAAAGGAAAGGAGACAGGCAAGGAAGCTGTACCTCCAGGCAGACGTCAACAAGGGGAGAGAGGCGGGAGGGCTGCGACCACTGCGGCTATGTCTCCTACTGGCCATTTACGTCCGTGTGTCTGTAATAGGACACAGCATGCTGTCACGGCGCCCGGGCAGCAAATGGACACAGCAGGGACGTCATATGCACCCGGGGTTCTCCAGGGGAAGAGGAGACCAATGCGGAGGGTTCTAGGTGGAGAGAAGCAGGGCAAAAAGGCGGACGTTGCAGAGATTTGAGTGGAGCATCCACTAGGGACAGGCTGTGATGGCAGGTGGCGGGCTCCCCGCCAGAAAAGCGTTCCAGAAGATCCCAGGACACTCAGAGCCCAGGGGCTTGGGCTTCGTGGGTATTTTCCTGATTCTTTAGGTGAAGCCTCCACTCACTCCCAGTTAATAAAGTTAATGTTACCAGCGGCCAGTCCGTCAGTTAGAGACAAGTGGGTGTCCATTTGTTTGCTCTTGGGGGACCTTGGTCCCCTGGCTCTTACCTGAGGTCACCTGGGATCTGCTTTTCTTTGGAGCCACTGTCATCTGGATCCAGGGTCTCCATGGCCCCAATCCTCGTTGGCCTGGCTGTCCTGCTAGAGGCTTGCACTGGGGGGTGGGGACAGTCGTATGCGGGCTGAGGGGCTCGAGGCATGACTCTCTGGGACACTCACGAGCAACAAAGCAGGCGATCCCGCTTTGCCTCTGGTGAGCACCGGTGGGTGTGAGGGCAGAGCGAGCGGGAGGGCCTGCCTGGGCCCTCAGGGGCCCGGGGTACCTGTCCCCCACCTCCGAGGGTGTCGGCAGGAGGCGAGAAGGGCACGCAGAACCCTTGGGAACAGGATCGCAGCAGCACTTGGCCCCAACCTTGGCCCCAGTGCACATCCACTGTGCGACCTGAGCCAGCAAATTAACCTCTCTGAGCATATTTTCCGAGTGGCAGATTGGGGCCGATAAAAGGAATCAGTCACAAATGGGGGATTAAATGAGATCGCTTATTTGGCAGAGTTCCTGACTCAGCCAGGGGAACAGTCATTACCCTGATGAGGCTTGAGAGGCTGACCTCACCTCTGTTCCTTGCTTCTCGACGACCCCTGTGCCCCTGTGTGCCTCCGTGTCGTCCAAGCACCCTGGCCCGGGACCCGGCCCCTCCACTCCCTGTGCCCTCCCTGGCCTGGCCTGTCCCTCTGCCCACGCCAGCTCAGACTTGCTCAGGGGGCTCCCCGGCACCGCGGCTGGCCTCTCCTGCAGACTCCACGCGGATTCCCAGCCAAGAACTGCCAGGGCCCGTCTGCGCCCTGGGTTAGTGACCAGAACACGGAGCACACACGGGGGGCTGACAACAACGGGAATGGACTGTGCCACCGTCGTGCGGGCCAGGGTCTGCAATCCAGGTCTGGGGAGGGGCGTTTCCTCTTCCAGCTTCTGGGGCTCCGGGGTCCCCGGGCTTGTGGCTGTGTCCCTCCAGCCCCCTCCACATCCACAGGGCTGCCCTTCTCCCTGAGCCCTCCCCTCTTCTGCTGCCTAGAAGGACACTTGCCATTGGGTTAGGCCCCCTGAGTAACCCAGAGTGATCTCACGCGAAGACCCTGAACGTCATTCTATCTGCAAGGACACTTTTTCCGAATAAGGCCACGTCACAGACCCCCGAGGCCTCTGTTCCCGCCCTTCTCTCCTCGGTCACTGCCCAGCCCGTTCACATCCGACCGGGCTGGCCCAGGAACCAGAGTGGGGCCAGGCTGGCGCTGACCCCAAAACAGGGTCGAGGGCTGCCCATCACTACCCGCCACCTCCCCCCCACCCCGCCCCGGACACTCAGGAAATGACGAGACCCCAGAGCCTGGTCCGGGTTACACGAGAGGGTGCTTCCGGCCTCGTCGTCGTCAAAGTTAGCAGATTCTCTAAGTGATGGGACAACAAACGCCTCCGAGAGGCCACAATGGGTGATATTCAAACAATGTGACATGACCTCAACCCTTTCCTTCCTTCAGCACGGGGTTACTGCTCAGACTGCGTCCTCCACACCAATCTCGTCTGGCGTGGGGACCCCCACAGCCAGCCCCTCCCCCACCTCTGGAAGACGGGCCAGTCCAGGGTGACCCAGCCGCCAGGGCTGGCCCCGGGGCGTGAGGCCAGTGCTCCTCTGCCTCCGTGCATCCTGCACACACATCTAGGACAAAACAGCTAGGAGGAGTTTATGCCGTGGGCCTCCCATAAGTTCTGGCCAGCAGCACAGATGGGTTTTCGATTACATTTTCGTAAAAGATAGAGGGACAGCCTTCAGATGTATCTTTCTTATTATGTTCCTCTATAAAAGCTGGGGACAGAGTGTTAAGTCACAGCCCCGGGAAGGAAGCATTCTGGAGAGAGCGTGCGTGTTCCGCTGCTTTAACCTGACCCCGGGACCCCGTCATCAGCGCCGCGTGTCACGTCTGGATCTGGGGATGTAAACACGACCCGTGTCAGGTTTCACAACGTTTACCGAGCAGTAAGGGTCTTCATGATTTTTTAATTGAAACAGAATGAACGCACAATGTCCGCTGACTTTCAGGTGTGCAACATAAACCCTCCTTTCTTCAGATCCACATCGTCACCGGGCCGGCCCTGCTGGGCAGCGTGGACGCGTGTGGGGATACGTCTTAGGCCACGCGGGTGTCGACTGCGCCACCGTGGAAAGAAAGGCGAAGCCGTTCACTCGCCCATCTCTTCGTTCCGTCGCTCATTCTACAAATACTTGCTGGATGCCAGGTGGGTGTTGCGGGGCAGTGATGCTCTCAATGGACCCGGCGTCACCCTCCAGGCAACGGGAATGGCGATGAGGACGTTGGAGGGCAGGCTGGCGGCAGCTGCCACACCGGCCGTGGGCCCACGGGGCCCTGGCGACACAGCTCAGCGCCAGCCCTAGAGGAGCCCCCACGAGCGTCCCGGAGGTGCGGGCAGGGGCCACCTGCAGCGTGGCCAGAACCACACAGGTTAGCAGGAACCTACGTGCGCCCCGCCCGGCTTTTCTGGGGCACCAGCAGCGGTTCCGACAGAAATGGGCCGGCCCCGGGGTCCGCGGGAGGGAGCCGCACGGTGCCAGGCGTGCCAATACGAGGACACAGACGCTCACTTCTAACGGCGGGAGTCCGTTAGCGCTCGGGCAGGGACCCCGAGAGCGGGGAGTGAGGCCGAGGCCACCGCATCTGGAGCGCCATCCAGAAGCTTCGAGTTGCGCACGGGTGACGTGCGGAATTGCGAATAAGCGAAATCGTGAAGAGAAACGAAGGGCAGACAAGAAAGACCACAGCGAATGTGTTTGGAACACCTGCTCTCTGCCGAGCGCCTTCATCGCACTGGATCTTGTCCCGACAACACCCTGCACACGAAGCCCCGGAGCCCAGTTTCCAGAAGGGAGCACCGGAGCGCGGACGTGCCAAGGACTCTCCAAGGTCCCGCGTCGTGTCGATGACAGGGACCGCAGGGACTCCCGTGGCTTCTGGAACCTGTCCTGTTGCTCCACGAGAAGCTTATTGTTATTTAAAGGAGCTAAAACAGTTTCTCTCTCTCTCTCTCTGTCCCTCTGTCTCTCTCTCACACACACGCTTGCACACACGCATGCACACATTCACACGTGCACGTGCACACAGTGATCTGGACCAGGCACAGGAACCGGGAGGCTGATTTCAGGGCGAACGCAAATACGGAAAACAGAGCAACCCGGACAAATGTGGAGTCAGCACGTGCCTTGGACCGTCTGTCCCTCAAATGCCAAGTGTCTCCAGTGGGCTTTTGGCAAATGCCAGATCACTGTCACTTTGTGGCCGGGCTCCCTGCTGAATGCCTGGAGTGTCACTATTCTCGGCAGCTGATCAAAGAATGTGATGATCTGGGTTAATGATGTCGCAATTGCCTGAATGATCGGAATCAGTGAGAAGATATTATAGGAACTGACCCAATTCCTTCAACCGGCCTAACAGCAAATTGAGCTGTGACACGAAGGGGGAGGGAGAGGGAACCGAGCCCCCACTACGTGCTGGGCACTGGGCAGCTGTCCTATCCCTCCTCAGAGGCAGCAACAATGAAACAGCGAAAGCGAGGCCGGTTTATGGAGCCCGCGGTTGGCACTGGGCCCCATGCATCTCTCTGCCCCCACCAGCCCGGCAAGACCAAAGCTCGGAGCTGGCTCCTAAGTGGCCTGGACTTCACAGAAGTGCAGGGCTGCTGGGCCCCCAGGGTCGTGCTGGACCCGGAAGGGTGATGGGCAGACACCGCCCGCGCTCTGACCGCACCCTCGGGTCCCCGCAACGTCACACACACCGGAGGGTGCCACCCGCACCCGTGTCTGCCTGTCCCTCCCACAGTCTCCTTCTCTCGAGTCCCCAGACCCCGTGGCAGTCCCACCCTGCTGGGCTCTTTCAAATGTCTCATGAGCTAGAAATATGTGCAAAGAAGCTCAGATTCTCCACTAACCAAATGCATGCGCTTTTACGTGAGGTGTTGCTACCAATATTAAAGTGGTAAATTCCTGACACTCAGTTCGGGCGAGGATAAGTCAAGACTAACATCTGTGTGTGTGTAGGCTGCTAATAAATGCCCCTCAAAGTGACTGCAGCGGTCACTGCTGTGTGAACTGGCCTGGACTGTGGGGCCCAGACGTTTGGTTGAATACCAGTCTCAACATTGCTGTGAAGACGTCCTCTAGGTACGAATAGATCCACAAGTGGTGGATTTCAGTGAAGCAGATTGCCCTCCATGACATGGTGGGCCTCATCTAATCAGGAGATGGCCCTAAGAACGGAAAGGAAGTCTCCTGGAGAAGGAGCTTGATCTCAAGGCTGTCACAGAAACCCTACCTGAGTTTCCAGCCTGCCACCCAGCCCTATAGATTCCAGACTCAACGGCCCCACTGTCCTATGCGCTGGTGACCCAGCGGCCCATGTCACTGGCCCTAATATCCCATGCCTGGCATCCCGTGGTTATGTGTCCAGGCATCAGCCCGTGCAACAGCAAGGAAGGTGAAAACACTCGTGTGCAGAGGAGACAGAAGTCACCGGAACGGGCACCTGGACGCCATGCGGTGTCTGAGAGTGGGGGACGGGTGAGCACTCTGGGGGGCGTCTACGCAGGAAGATGCCGACCTGAAACGAGAAAGGGCGGCGACCGGCGCCAGTGTGCACACGGTCCTCTACATTTGCACACAGCCTCACGGAGGTGTGCATATTTTATCTACAGGATGTTATGGTTGGAGACAGTCTGGAAGGATGAAGTCAAAGACCCCATGTGGCATCTTCCTGGAAACTGCAAACAGCCACCCCATGACCTCCGATGGCAGCACAGGCTGATACTGCTTCCTCCCCCAGCCCCTTTGTGCAGTGAACAACACGCACAGCCACACGGGGCAGCCTAAAATATTAACTCTGAGTTGGAACGGACTATGAGTCACTGCTATGCTTTCACTTATGCTTACAACATTTTCTAAGATTTACGCCCTGAGTGTTGACTGATTTCTTACCAGCGGAGAAATAGAGCCCTAGGCTCACATTCTCCCAGCTGCCGAGAGAGGAGGGGTCAGGACATCACCTGCCCAGCATGTGAATGACCAAGTGCCCCCAGGCCTCCGTAGCTTCTTTGGAGCCAAAGATTCTAGTGCTCTGAACCTGTGACCTGTGTGGACCCTTCGTGGGGAGTCAGGCTCAGATGCCCTCCCAGGAGAAGAAGGATCCAGGGTGACGTCCCCTCAAAGTCCGGCTCAGCGTGTAGGGAACTATCCCCTCCCTCCCGGCCTCCTGCAGAGTCAGCCCTCCGGACCCACCCCCGCCCCCGCACCCCCCGGGCTCTTCCCTACTCTGCTGTGCCTGGCTGCTAGCCCCAACAGCATCACACACACACCGCCCACACAGAGACAGACACACACATGTGCACACACAGACGTACACATGCCTGCATGCACACACGCCCAACACACACAGGCACACGTTGCACACACACGCACAGCGGGTGTAACTTCATTGACTGGGCATAGGCTCATTTGTCAGGAAACACTTCTTTGACTTTAGCATAACTGCCCCCACGCACGCCTCCCACCCCCCAACCTTACCTCTATGTTCTGGATGCTCAAGGAGAGCATTTACTTCCTCTCTCATCCGACAAAGCTTCCTCCTTACCGAAAGAATCCAGTCTTGGGTATGATCGATCCATTCGCTCATTCGTTCCCTCCACAAACTTGTATTGAAAGGGCGCCAGACCCTTGGGAGGTCCTGTGAGCAGGGTGAACACGGAGCCTGGTCCTCCTGGCTTATTGTCTAGATCGGAGACACCCGGACTCATCCATTCGAATGGCGGTATGACCTCCCACTCATAAGCAGCACAAAACCAGAGGACCACAGGATGCCCAGACCAGGGGGGACGGTGGCTTCCGTGACAACGTTCTTGTTTTGGAGGACCAGAGCTTAGTGTGTGATCAAGGTCAGGGCTCAGCATGTGGCCGGGGACAAGGTTCAGCATGGGACTAGAGTCAGGGCTCAGAGAGTGACCAGGGTCAGGGGTCCACGTGTGGTCATGACCAGGGCTCAGTCTGTGGCAAGGATTCTGGGGCTTGGGCTCAGTGTGTGCTTGGGGTCAGGGCTCAGTCTCAGCGGCGGGCCGGGGCTCTCGACCTCCCTGCTTTACCCGTGTCCCTCGCTCCGAGAGCAACCCCTGCCTCTCGCTCTGGCCCAGGGTGGCCTGGCCTCTGGGCCTGTGCCCCTTTTCCTGTGGAAATCCCCTTTGGTTCTAGCCGTAATTATGTTTAAAACCCCCATTCTAGCTGGGGGATTTCATCAGGGAGCAGGAGCTCAGAGCCAGGGTGCTGAGGAGAAGCCGAGCATGGGGGGCCCGGACAATTCCTCCGCAACCCAATCAGGGCTCCTGCACACCCGGATTTGCATAAATCTCTAAGCCGATTAGGGGGACATTCAGAGTAAGCAACGCAGGTACTGAGCCAGCAAAGCAGGCGCCCTCCCTCTCTGTGTGGATTAATTGCTCCCATCCCAGCTGGCTCCAAAGCCGAGTTCATTATCCCCCACCCTGCCTCAAGCCCGCTCCTCCTCCCAGCTCCTTCCCTGCTTGCTTAGTGCCACAAACTCAGAATCCGTGTTACCCCAGATGCCTCCTGTGTGCTTTCCATCCGGTCTACAACGTCTGTCTCCTTTGCTCTGTCCCCTCCCCACCAGGCCACCCTCTCCAGCCTCACTGTCCCCTGGGTATCCCTGACACCGGCCCTCTCCTCTGTCCATTCTTGCTCTGAGTCCTCACGACAAATGCCCTGTGGCACCTGCCCCTCCCCCCCCGGTCCCCCAGGCCCTCCCGAAGCAGGGATTGCTCTGTTCTCAGCCCTAGGCCCGCTGCTCACCCGAGGGAGCCGTGAGGCCGGGCCCAGGGCGCTGGCCCAGGGCACACCGTCGGCACACAGCCGTGGTTTGACGTCCGCAGCTCCCGTCTCCTGCAGGACGGGGTCCCCCTGACCCTTCAGCTCTCGCCTCCCCAGGAGCACATCATCCCGGGCCAGCTTGCTTTTCTGTCCTGGGGCTCCAGGGAGAATGCCCATCCAGGAGAGGGTCTGCATGGAGGCATCGCTCACATACAGAACGCTGTTACCCCAGAGACTGACCTCAAGCCTGAGGTTGGCACCCTCTCCTCCTGCTCCCCTGGCCTCTGAGAAACGCACCGTGAAGGGGCTCGTGTCCCCTTGGCCCACCCCAGCCGCTGCAGCAGCAGCAGAAACACTGGGAATGGTGCTGGCTGGGGTCACAGCGCTGTCCTTGTTGGGGCCCCACTTGGCCGTGTGACCAGGTCAAGCCTGTCCCTCACTGCGAAAATGAGAGAGTGGCTGGGCTGATTTCTGAGCTTTGCCTTGGTTGCAACACCTTAAGTCAGTGAATAAATTGTGACCCCCTCAAATGAAGTGATGCATTCACGCACAGTTCTCAGAAGCTCGGGTGGAGGAGTGAGCACAGAGTGTGAGGGCAGACTTGCGAGGGACCGGGATCCCTCACTGGTGCGACAGAGATGTGTGTGTAGGGGACTTGGGGGCGACCATCAACACCACCGTCCACACCATCAATGCCGTCATCATCATGAGAACCACGGTGCTCATCCTACTATAACACCATCATCAACATCTGCCCCAACTCTCCCGGGTTCTCATAAAATAAGAACAGGGAAGCTGATCGCCCACCGCCCCCACCCCCCAGAGCACTATGGGCAAGGTTCTGAATGGGCTGTACCAAGTGATCCCAGATGCCCTGGTCCCGCTTGGGAATCTCCCTGGTGAGCGGGCCCCACTCCAGTCTCTGCCCTGCAAAGCCGCAGACCTCGGACATTGCCAACCGCAGCCCCTGCTCCCTGCTCCCCGGGCGTCCTAACCAGCAGCCGTTTGCTCTGCGTAGGACCCAGGAGCACAGGAGGATGGGCTGGACCCAGAAGCCTGTGCGACCCTGGGCGCATCTGTGCTCCCTAGCCCTCTGAGGGGATACTGAGCGATTCCTGATGGAAATCCCATCCCCGGCCACCCCACCCCAGGTCAGCGTCTTGCGGGTGCCTGACATCTGAGCCAGGACATCTAGTCTTCTTCTGACTCAAGCTGCCCGGGGGTCCCGGTTTCTGCCAACACCATGGTCTCTCTCTCTGAGACTGTATTCATTTCCTGTGGTCGCTGTGACAAATTCGCACAAACCCGGTGGCTTCAAATGACCCAACTATTTTCTCATATTTCTAGGTGACAAGGTCAGATGTCCAAAGCCCAGGCACAGCAGGAGCACCCTCCCCGGAGGCCCCAGGGAGGGGACACTCCTTGCTTTTTGCAGCTTCTGGTGCTCTTGGCATTCGTGACCATATCTCCCTCTGTGCACATGGGGCCAGGCCCCTGCCTCCTGAGCGTGGCTGGCTCGCGGGCCGGCGCAGACCTCCAGGAGGGCTCCCCCGCTGGGACACGGGACCAGGAGACAGAATTCGCGAGGTCACACTGGGTGCGATGAGTGCCCACACGGGGCCAAGGCTCCATGTCTCCTCTGAGGCTCTCGGGCTCCAGGGAGCAGCAGGGGTGGGCTCGGCCGGGCCACCTCATGTCCTCTGCCCCACCTCAGTTACCCAGGAGCACCCTGGGAAGGACAGGGCCCTCGGCTCCTGAGCCCCTCGAGCGCAGCCTCCTGTGTCCTGGGTGTCCTGCCGGAAGGAAGGTCACCTCGGTTCCCTTGATGACGGTGGCAGAGCTGAGCTCCCAAACGCGGGAGCCCCTCAGGGTCACAGAGCAAGAGGCAAGGCTCACATCTAAGCCAAGTCTCCCTGTGTCCAGTCACCAGGAAGCCCTGCTGTCCCTGTGTTGGGGTCACAGGGCAGCTCAGTGCCTCGAGAGCGCCGACCACAGAGAGCCTGGCCCTTCCCCACGTCAGGAGGGATGTGGGTCAGGAGGCCGTGCTTCCGGCCCCAGGGACAAGCCTCTTGTTGTGCGTCCCTGGATACAGCCCCTGGACCCTCCGGGCCTCTGACGGGTCACCTGAAAAGTGGAAGACAGAGTTCCTCCTTCCCCGGTGAGGCCCTGGCTCTGAGAGGAGGGTGTGAAGGCGCCCGGAGGGAGGAGTGAAGCACAGGCCCCAGGGCTGGGCGGGAGGCCACAGTCGGCCGCTGACCGCCAGATGCTGGCTTGGCTGGTTGCCCGGCACACGGCCTGGGGACAGAGCTGGACCCAGCACCTGGGCCGGACACCCGGCTCAGCCGTCTCTCCACCCCCCTGCTCAAGAACCTGCCGTCTCAGCCCCTCCCTGGCCACCACTTGGATGCCCACCCGTCATGGCCCGCCGACGCCCACCTCTCTGGGGCGCCCTCCTTGCCGACTGTCACCCTCCACCTCTGTTGGACACCAGGGAGCCCGACCCTCAGGGCCGCCCACGTTCCCCGAACAAGGACAGAGCACATCCTGGCTGCAGGCGTGGCGGTGTCCCCGGTGTCCCCTGGGGAGTGCGAACAGGCAGTTGTCACCCCCACCCCGCCCCTGCCGCCCTGGGGGCCTCCGGCAGGAGCTCGTCTCCAATTTCCAAGCATAAATGGCAACTGTCTGTGGCTCCCACGCCCCCAGGCCTGGCTCTGCCAGATCTCTGCATGGCTGACAGCTGTCGCACGCCGTGGCGGGCATATGCTTGCCCAGCCTCACCCCGCCAGCCGGCCGGGCCGTCTGGAGCCGGCGATGGGAAAGCGGCCCTCGGGCCCCAGGCCCTGCCCCTCTGTGCTCCTGCAGGCCCGTCCGGCTCCCCAGGGGCAGCACGGCCAGGCCTGCTCGGCGTTCCTTCTCCCTGGGCCTCAGTTTCTCCTCTGTACGCAGAGTCAGGCCCGGCGGCCCCTGAACCTCTGCCAGGTCTGTCATCCCAGCAGAGACGCACGAGGCCCGCCTGGAACTGAGGGGCGCGGGCAAGGACGAGGTCCTTGTTTTCCACGGGGTGCCCACTCTGGTGCGTGGGCTGGGAGGTCAGGCAAGGGCCAGGGGATCCTGAGGGGTGGTTGGGTTAGAGGAGTCTGGTCCCAGAGCAAGATGCCCTCTTCTAGCACGCTCTCTAGCTCCCCCTCTAGCCCCCCTCTAGCCCCCCTTCTAGCCCCCTTTCTAGCCTCCCCTTCCACCCCCCCTCTAGCCCCCCTTCCAACTCCCTTTCTAGTCCCCCTTCTAACCCCCCTCTAGCCCCGTTTCTACCCTCTTTCTAGCCCCCCCTTCCAACTCTCCTTCTAGTCTCCCTTCTAACCCCCCTTCTAACTCCCCCCTTCTAATCCCCCTTCTAGCCCCCCATCTAACCCCCCTCTAGCCCCCCTCTAGCTCCCCTTATAACCCCCCTCTAACCCCCCTCCTAGTCCCCCCTTCTAGCCCCCCTCCTAGCCCCTGCTGAGCGGGCTCAGTTCTGAACCCAGGGCCCAAGGGAAATGGACAGCCAGACAGGCTGGAGCCGCCACCAGATCATGGGGCTGGCGGGTGACATTGGGTGATATGACACCAGGGGCCATCACTACATACACCCCTCTTGTCCTCGGGGAACAGACTTCCATGGGAGAATTTTGTGATTTGGGAAAAGTATGTGGGTTCCCAGGGGGGCCAGACTCGACTGGCCATGGCCCACAGAGGACCAAAAGCCAACCCAGGGAACGTGGCCAACTGGTGAGGAAGGCAGCTCTGCCCGGGCCCTTCCCCAGGGGTCAGCACGGCCAGCCTCTGTGTATGGACACGGCCAGCCCCAGTGGGAGGGGGGAGGCGGGAGGGCTCTGAGCAGGGCAGGTGGTGGTGGAGTGGGAAGGACATAGGGGCTGGAGCAGAGTGATCGTACCTCGCTAGGCTGGGGGCGCGTGGGGGTGGGGTGGGCAGTAAGAGGACGGGGCCTTCAGGGGAGACCACCCCCAACCGTGCCATGCAGACAGCAGGGGACGCCAGGAGGGGCCCGGGTAGATTCTGGACATACCTCTGCCCCTAATACCAGCCTCATAGAAGCACAAAGTCAGGGAACCACAGAAGATCCTTGACTTTTTGGAAATGACCTTGACCATGGTGTCTGGGGTTCTGAACCGCCCCTGAGGGCCAGCAGTTGCTTGGTTAATTTTTGCGCCAGAAATTAACCGTGCAACATCAGATGCTAGAGTCGTGCCTCAGACAACTGTTCTTTGAGGCCACACCAGGGCTCTCCCAGGACATTTCCTCCCTACAGACCTCATGACTGACCTCTGCCCCCTTGGGGGTTCTCCCTCTGCTCCTGGCACGGACCTCGAGTGGCCCCAGACTCTCTCGTTTTGCCCCTTCTGTCTCCACCACGTGTGGGGCCTCCACCCACTCGGCCAGGCCCACCTCGGGGGGCTCCGGTTGGGACCATCAACTGCCTTGTTGACTTTGTCCCCAGGCATCAGGCATCACTCGCCCTGTCCCCTGACCTCACGCCCTGGGCTTGCTCTGCCCCCGCCTTCACATCCGCCCCACTGCTGGCCTTCAAGGAGTGCCACCTTCCCTAAAGCATCTGATTTGGCCTAGCTCCGGGTCCGTGCGCAGGCCTCAGGAACCCAGTGTTGGACCCTCGTCCGCTTGCCACACACACTCCAAGAGAGGGAACCTTACAGTCATTGCCGTCCTGCACAGGGCAGAGGGCGGCCCCCGCACTGGTTAGCGAGGAAGGAGGCGCTCAGCTGAACAGACCTGAGCAGCTGAAACCTTCCAACCACCCGCTGAAGGCGACGTGGATCCTTCCCCGGTTGAGCCCCGGATGAGACCTCTGCCCCCGACCTTGACGGCAGCCTGTGGGGACCCTGAGCGGAGGCCCCGGCCGAGCTCTGCCAGCTCCAGACCACAGACGGTGTGAGAGGATTCATGTGCTTCATCCGCGACACTTGACGGCTGCTCGCGATGGCCAGGGATAGCTAGCGCGGGACCCCGGGCTGAGACGCCTGCCCTGCTCTCCCCATTCTCCTGCACCCCTCCCTA